ATAAATACAAACCCATTTCGAACCGAAATCACTTTTGAATCTCCAGTCGCATCATTTCATAAACTTGAAAAATTCAAGGTCACATCGGTATTCAAATTCGCGTAATAAGAAAAATTCAACTTCGAATTTCCATATAAATTTTTCTCCCTTTTTATAATCAAAATTTGATTATAAAACCTTCAAGGAAAGAGAACGTGCTCTATTCAGAATTTTTCGTGTCAAATCTCCCCCTTAACATGTGGCATAAACTTTGTGCTTTAATCCAAAACATCTTCAATTTTTAACGTCGTTCACGGACCGCCTTTGACAAAATTTCTAAAAAATGGGTAGAAATTGTCAATTTCATACAGTGACTGGTGCTCCTAAAACAGCCAAAAATGCGAAACTCTCCCCCTTTTCCAAAGCTGGGTAGAAAGCGTCAATTTACATAAACTGCAGGGGCTTGAAATGCATTTTCTTCAATTTCTCAGCAAAATCAGTCCATTTGGGTAAAAACTATCGAACTTTCGAAAGTTCAATGACTGCTTTCGAAATTTCTACCTTTTTGTCCCAAAATGTCGAAAATTAACCCAAATGTCGAAGTTGGTTATGTTGTGCGAAACTATCGAAATTTTAGGACTATTTTCAAAAATTCTTCCTCCTTTCTTCCAAACTATCGAAAGTAAGTCCAAATGTCAAAATGTGTAAAATATGGCAAACGGTCGAAACTACAGCGGTCACTTTCGAAAATTTATGCTTTCGTCTCCAATTTCATTTGTCTTGCAACGAAACTTTCCTTCCCTTCGTTAATTACAATCACGAAATCTTCTTATTCACTTCGTGAAATCAGTAACGAATTCATTTTTAGCAAAAAAAAACTAAGCACCATTTTAACGAAAGCTTTTGCATATAACGAAATCGAAGCCTTGATTGTGAACAATAACTCTTCGCTTTTTCATTCAAAAGCACAAATATCATCGATTCGTTATTTCCCCAATATCACTTTCCCAGTCGAACAAAATTATAAACATTCGTTCTCTTCCTTGCCTATTTGACTTCCAAAACAATTTCTCTTTTCCAAATCAACCAAAAATCGAATTTGTTATCAAAAACCAAAATCGAATTCAATTCTGAGACTTCTTAATCGATTCATTCAAATTTTGACTTTCGTTCACGACACATTCACCTCCAAATCAGATGAGAACAAATTGAAGAAATCCATCGAAATCGACCATCACAACTCAATACAGTTGTACCCAAGACATTCGATCTCATGGAGTAATTAACAATATCATAGAAACCAACTATGGAATCAAAACACATATTCCTCCGAAATAGTGATTCTTGACTCAAGCTAAATACAACTCCAGTCAAAATCAAATCGAGATCAACTGATTCTCAAATCACTTCAAACTTCGATCACAAATCGATGTTTTAATTCCAAATCAAAACTAGTAAAAATCAATTTTGACCACAAGCAGAGTTTTGACTTTCGATTTCAAGATAGACAACATGAATTCTTCACACATTGACACCACAAATCTAATTTTTCTTTCAAATCGATTCCAAGATAAACACAAAACATTAGTTCTGTATCAAGACTCAACAATTAATAGCAAATAGAAATGATTTTGACTCCTATTGAAATTGAATTTTAAATCTTCATAATTGAAATTCATCAACTTCGCTTTCGCTATCAATTATTGTTAGCATCCTTCTTGAAATAAAAATCAAGCTCGAATAACCAGATCAAACATAAAAAATAATTAACTGATATCAAAGCTTTTCTGAACAAACAATACATGAGACTTCGAGAACTTGCATCGCTTTTGACATCGAGATTAACTGATGATTTATTTGATTTTGGGCCACAAAGTTCTATTGAACGATGATGAAGATTTGAAATTATGGCTCAATAGAACGGATTGATGAACAGTAAAGGAATTTCTTTTGAACTCAATTAAAAATGTGGGTAATGTGGGCTCAATAGAACGGATTGATGAACATTTCAAAATTGTAATGTGGGCTCAATGGAACGGATTGATGAACATTTCAAAAGTATAATGTGGGCTCAAGAACGATATTAATAGTAAAGGAATTTCTTTTGAACTCAATTAAAAATGTGTATGAACAGTGAATTTTGAATTTGAGAATGATTTTTGGAATTATGATCTAAGCAAAAAATTTGATGAATCACCAATAGGGTAAAAATGGATTAGATTCAACGAAACAAATTGATCAAAATTCAAAAACGTGACGCACGATTCAACAAGATTAAGAGAGATCATAGAGAGACTCACCATAAATGCTCCAATTGTGACAAATTTTGCCAAACCGGGAATCGTTCTTCAACAAATCACGTTGATCTTTGAAGACCCGCTCTGATACCAAATGTAGTGACTTAAGAACATAGTTTGGCATGCGGAATTAAAGAATACACAATGAACATGGTGATTTGGGTGTTTAACAAATGTATTCGAATATGTATGGTGTTACAAAAAAGGATCTAGATCTAAATCTACATAAATAACACACACTTACACACTCAATGTTTACACCTCTCAAGCACACCTCTACATATGGAATAAACCCATCTTATATAGAGGTGTTTACATGTCTCTCTCTCTCTATATCTCATGAGTCAAAAGGCTAATGCATTTTATGCAAGTGAGTTTACAAAAGTCAAACCATTACAAAGTCATACATGGATAACTTTGCACCCCAACGGTTTTAAATAATTACAATGATATAAATTAAAATCTTAAACAAATAAACTTTTTAAAATTAATTAATCAATTCAACAACAACTATAAATATCATTAAACCATATATTATATTTAATTTTATTCATGAATAACACGTATGTATAGGTCATTAAGACAATTGATATTATAGAAATTTAAAAAAATATCTACATTATCATATAATACAAAACAAATAATATATATACCAACTTATTATAATATCTATTATATAATAGCTAACAACAAGGTCATTGATATATTTTAAAAGCATATATTTGTAAAGTTTTTAAATATATTGTTGTATTCAACGCAACGCACAGGTATTCACCTAGTTACATGGAAAACCAATTCAGTAATGTTCAATAGATTACTAATCGTTCCATTCTTGTTGAGTGTTTGTATATCAAAACACTACATAAAAAATATTTAGAATTCAAAAATTACATATTTAAAATACTTTTTGTGTTTTCGTAATTTATTTTACAGATGATAAATTATATTTATTATATCTATCATATTCCCTCTTTTCCTTTCAACATAAAACGACATTTGTCCTAAAGACTTGATTATTTTTATTCATACGACAAAGATCTTCTAGGACCGGAAGTTTCTTCAATCTTCAACATTTTTTTGGAAAACGGAAAATATATTAAAACCCCATCAAGACGATGGGGGAAAAGAGTACAAAGGAAAGTGAAAAAAGAGAAAGAACGTGCAAATTACAAGCAAAAGAAGGGATTAATGTTCCACTATCTCCAATCAATTTTCCCGAAGGAACCTCTATGCTTGCACCAAGGGAAGGTAGTAACATTTATTCTTTCTGCAATACTCGCCGGATTCGTTGGAATTTTATCAAAGATCCACTTGTTTCTAGATGTCCAAATGCACCATAAGGCTTCGCAAAGAATTACATTAAGTAAACTCCGTTTCTTTCTACACCTGGACCATCGAGAGATAAAAAGGACCATGTCTTTCACCGATGTAAAGCATTCACCACTGATTTCACACCAAGATAGTATCAACTCCATCACTGATTTTTCAATCTAACATAAAATCAAGGCATGGTCACTAGTTTCCTCTCCAGCATTACATATACTACATATAGTGACCGGAATGGTAACTCCCATTTGACTTATTGCCACAACAATTGGAATTCTTTCCTGCTTAGCCCTCCATATGAAACATATATGGGATCCCTTTGCACCAATCAAAGGGCCCATTATTGACAATATGACTCACCAACTCGATTCGTTCTCATAACAAACTGACGATGAATTGATCTCCAAACAAGAAACTAGATGCCCATTTGTTTATCTCCGGATTCCAGGAAACAAACTCATTACGATCGATGTTGAGATTTGCCAAGCACCTGCTAGACTTTATGATGTTTTCCAGACCCCCGTGATTGAGTAGTTACCAAACACACCAATGTCTTCCCGATAGTCCATGTAAGCAATTGATCACTTTTGCCCACAGGGCAGAATTTTCATTTTCTAGTTTCCATAACCATTTAGTAACCAGAGAGAGATTAAGAGATTTAATTGAGCCAAGACCAATACCCCCACCTTTTTTTGGGCTCGTGATCTTTTCCCACTTCACCCAGCAAATGCTTTTTTTCCCGTAGTCTCTACTCCAGATAAATTTTCTTTTTATTTTTTCAAGAATGTCAATGACACCATTAGGAACAACAAAAGATGGACATGTAATATATCGGGAGGTTACCAAGCACTGCCTTCGCAAGCGTAATTCTTTCCACGGTGACAATTTTGATTGGAATTTATTAATTGATTTTCGAACTTCGGTGAATTCTTATGAACTTGTGCTTGGTTCAATTCTATGGAAGTCACAAAAACTAAAGATTGATATTTATTAAGTGACTGACGTTATCAATAAATAAAAATATTAAAGTGTTTCGAATGTAAATCCAGACAAAATCAATACATTTGGTGTTTTATTCAAGTACAGAACTTTGTATTATTATTTTTTTTTCTTAACATTAGGTACATTAAATATATACATACCATACATATTATATTTTTGCAATGTCATGTTATTTTTTCCCCATATCTCACAAAATTGATGGATGTCGTATCATACTAATCATTTTCTAATTGAAAAAGAATATAATTAATTAAAAATAATAAAATGAAAATACTCCATTAATTAAAAAATACATAATAAAAAAACATAATTGAAATATAGTTGAATAACATGTGATGTCTAATCATCGTCACTCAGCACGACATCAAAATCCTCATCCAATTTTTATTCAAACGTTTATGATTCATCATCTGTATCATCGAACAAGTCGTCTTCAACAAAATCGTCAACGACGGGATTCATTTGAGTATTGAAGATGTGTTCCAACAAATCAACGTGAAGGTTGTGGTGTACAACCCGATCGTATACTTCCCCTATGTTCGCCATGTACGCCTTTGAACCAACACCAACTCCTTTGACATTTGGTAAATTTTTATTTTCATTGTAGTAGCAAATCGTTTTCCCTTCATATTCGAAAATCATATTATGCAATATGATACATGCATACATCAAGATACTTATTCGTCTGTGCTCCATATATCGTATTAGTACTGCGAGTATTTATTAACATCTCTTTAGGACAGTAGTACTAGCATGATCTATGGAGCACAGACGAATAAGTAGTTTGATGTACGCATGTATCATATTGCATAATATGATTTTAGAAGATGAGAGGAAAGTAATTTGTTGCCCTAATGAGAATTAGAATTTACCAAATGTCGAAGGAGTTGGTATTGGTTCGGAGGCGTACATGGCGAATGGGGAGGAAGTATACGATCGGGTTGTACACCACAACCTTCGCGTTGATTTGGTAGAACACATCTTCAATGCTTGAACGAATCCCGTTTTCGACGATTTTGTTGAAGATGACTTGTTTGACGATACAGATGACGAATCATAAATGTTTGAATGAAATTCGGATGAGGATTTGATGACGTGTCGAGCGACGATAATTAGACGTCACATATTATTCAACTATATTTTGATTATGTTTTTTTTAATTTAGTTTGTATTTTGTTTAATTAATGAAATTTTTTCATTTTATTGTTTTTAATTAATTACATATTATTCAATTAAAAATAGAAAAAAAAATAGTGTGGTATAACACCCACCGATTTTGTGGGGAGTTATATATATATATATATATATATATATATATATATATATATATATATATATATATATATATATATATATATATATATATATATAGCTAGGTTCAAATGTTTCTAGCAACTATTGTGTGCATGAATGCACCAATAGGAATTTATGAATAATTAAATAATTAAAAAATTGACTAAGGGTAATTATGTAACTTTAGAATGATAATTAAAATAAAATCCCTTAATTAATGGGAATTACCATAAAAATCTCTTTGACCAACTACTTAACCCTAGCCTCTTCTGTAGCCAAGAAAATCATAACACAAATATTTGTTTCTCCATTCGACACCAGGTAAGTTTGAGGCAGCCATTCGAGCAACCAAACCAGAAACTTCTAGCTCCATTTCAGAAGCCCTTATATCTTCACGATGCATCATCTTCTTCAGAACATGACGCCTTATTGACTCCTTCAAACTTAATCATGCTTCTCAGATCATAGCAGACCCCTTGATGTTGGCCATCTCTATGCCTCAAAGGTAAGAATTGAAAGTATCTCATAAATTAATCAGCTATGGCGATCTTCCCTTCCCCTCTCTTCTTAGGGCATTCCCTCTATTAAGATCGATATTCTTTGGTTTAAGTTTAAAATTAATCAAAGATTGGCTTTTTCTTGATCTTGAATTAGGAATAAGATTGCCAATCTCTCCTCTTGTTGTATCGATTAATATATGTCTAACGCTTGTTTTTTTTTTAATTAGTTAGCCCAATCCTTTTTGGAATTTTATTCTTTTCTACATTTGGAATTTGTTTTTGAAATTTTATTCAATTAAACTTCTTTTGAGGTCTTCAAGTTATACAGAGGCAATGAACGAAAGAAGGAAGAAAAAAATAGTTTTAAGGCCATACAGTGGGAATTTTCTTTAGTTTCTTCATTTTAAACATTTTTTTACATGTAATTATAGATCCCTAAACCTAATTAATCATTATGGTTTCACCATGTTATAACTTTATTTGCATGACCTAAAATAGCTTTTGTTAATTTTGATATAGAATTGCCATTGAGACTTGATTATCAAAGATGATGAAAGACGTAACTATATCCATGTTATCTGATCATGACTTTTCTAAGATTGTTAACATGTACTATCTTCATTTTTGCATTTTTTTTTTCTTTATTTAATTATTTCATAATTAATTAAAATCATGTGGATAAATCTCAAGTTTATAGGATTCCACTGGAGCTTTAACAAGCCGTTTGTATCATTATAACAAAGCCATTCATATACTTTGAGCTTTGATTCTCTATTATTTATATAGGTTGCATAAAAAGTGTTTGTGGAAATGCCTGAAAGAGAATATGATCACGTGGTATGTATTCAGTCAAGACTCTCAGGATGCCTATTATTCTAACAGAATGCTTGTATTCTATTAGAATTTATTTATATAAATACATTCTGTTAGAATGTCTTTGAGAATGTTTGTTAACAAGTGTATTTGTTTAACTGGTAATACTAACGATTAGTGCTTTTTGTTGGATTTTGATGTTTTTATTGCATTTGTGATAGGAATGCCTAGAAGACATTATAGGAATAATGTGAAGAATGAATCAAAGATTGATCATACTCACAGTTTAAGAATGTTGTTTTTTAATAATTACACTTATTATTCTTTCAGAATGTTGTTATTATTCAAGAATATATAAAGTGATAGTTAATTGCAAATAACATGTTTTTAACCATTATTAGTTTTTGTTGTTTTTGTGATAGGAATGGCTGGAAGTATGAGTTGAAAACCTAATAATGTTGTTATTATAATAATATTGAAGAATGAATAAAGTTTGATCATAATCACTTTTTAATAATGTTGTTATTTTTTAAGAATTTTATTTATTTTTGTTGATATTCTTTTAGAATATGTATAAGTATATGAAAATGTAAAAAACTTTTAGTCTGTAAGAATATGTATGAATTTGTATTTTAGTTCGGATGTATAAGAATATATTAGAATGTTGTTATTTTTCAACCTCGGATTCAAGAATTTTGTTATTCTTCAATAATATTCTAATAGAATAAAATTCTGAAAGAGCATCATTCTAACAAAAAATATCTATATTCTGACAGAATAAAATCGATTATTATTAAAAGTAATATTAAATTTTAATTTAAATTAATTTAAAAATTCAGATTTTTTTAAAATGAGAGAATTAATGATCCCTTAAAATCCGAAAATTTCTTTTTTTTTAAAATAGGTTAATTGACCAAAATACCCTTTTACTGAAATTTATGTGATTATATGATACATGATACTCTATTGTAATATCATAGACCCTTAGATAATGATTGTTGATTCTATTCATCCGATGATCCAGATTTGTGCATTCTGGCACACAATAGTTACTGGAAACAATATAACCTAACCATATATATATATATATATATATATATATATATATATATATATATATATATATATATATATATATATATATACTATCTTATAAAAGAAATCTAACTATTTCTAAAAATAGATTGATTATAATAATAATATTTTTTTAAGACGTCCAAATGATGAAGCTGATAGTACAAGTAATCATTAATAAAATAATATTAAATTTTAACCATATTTTGAATTCAAATATTTATCATCAAATCTCCTTATATTTCTCAACAATTTGATATGGTTTCCTCAAATCTCGGATTCATTCAAATTTTGAACCCTTTTAGATATCCTTAAATTTAGCATGTTGATTCAAATATCCCTACAATCACTTATACCTCTTTGCTCCCTCCTCTACTATAAAGTCCATCGTCCAGGAACAAAAAATGATTTCATTTCCCAAATAACACCATAGTTTGATTATTTTGTCTTCGACGTGTACTTTCTTTTGTAACATAACATTTTTGTAGAGGAAACATATCACTGAAAGAATTTACACGTCCCGTCGCTTTACGCGGGTGCACTGCTAGTATATATATTAAGCCACAATCCAAAGATTAAGTCAACAACATGTGGTTAAATATTTTTGCTTTATTCATTTTAGCGGTCAAACATGGGATAATATGAAGATCTCGGATTTATAAGAAAGTTATTTGTTACATGTATAAATATACGAATCGAGAGCACTTCACACAAACAAATTCACTCAAAAGACTACATTTTATTCTAATAAGAACTCAAAGGCAGTACGACTTTCATCACTCGAAATTTTATGCCGTAGATCTTTGAATGATCAAAAGTTTTCCTCATAAACATCTTGTGTTGTTTTTTATTTTTTACATTCATATATCTTGAACTATATATTAAAACATCACACCCTATTTACCAATTTGATCGAATCAACTTAAATCATTCCCTTTTTACCAAAACATTACTTTTATCAAATATTACATTAGTTTCTTAAAGTCTAAGTATTCAATTTCAATAACAAATAGTCGAACCTTTTATTCTATACTATTTCTATGAGTGGACTATTTATTTTCTTTTATGAGCAAGTGGCATTAAAGGTTAAAGACTTAAAGGATAAATGAGGGCGCGTCAAAGTTGTTTAGGAATTGAAAGGACACTGGATGGGTCCATAAATAAGAATGGTGAACTCAAATTAATTGGATCTACGACCCTTTAAGGTAATCTTGCTATCATCTCATCTTAATTTGTATAACCTATAAATTATTTATTTTGATACTAGGTGTGATACTCGTATATTATACAGGTTGATTGAAAAAAAAAATATTAAATTAAAGTATAAACATAAAATATTTTTTAATATACAATTTTAAAAATAAAAAATGAAAAATATATTTATAGCAATTTAATATTATATATATGATATTTAATACTTTACATATATAAGTAAATGATTTTAATTTTAAAAATTGAAACAAATCAAAAATTGATAAGTGGATAATATTTATTTTAAAAATACCACAAAATGACAAGTGTCAAAACTCATGAGAGATTGACACGTGACAAAAAAACATTTATTTATTAAGGAGACTAGTTGTGAGACCCGTATGTTATACGGGTTGGATAAAACAAAAAAATAAATAAATATGAAGATTTAAACAAAAATTTATTTAAATTTAAAATTTAAAATTTGAATTTAAAAGGAAACATATTAAATACTATATGAGTTGTAATATTGTAATTTATTGGTTATTTTCAATTAAGGCAATTATTAATTAAAGTGTAAATATGATGTGTTAATTAAGAAATATAAAAATAATAAGAAAATAACAAATGAAAAAAAAACATTTCTTCAAAAACACCACAAAATTACAAGTGTCAAAAATAATTATAGATTGACGTGTGGAAAAAAAAAAAACCTTCATTTATTAAGGAGAACGATGATAAGTTTTTAACGGTTTTATTATATTTATTTTGATATTTTTTAATCTAATAACTTTCTTGTAACTTTTATCATTGGTTTTAAAATGG